TTGCTATCTCTGGTTGTTGAGATAACTGGATTATAAAAGTACCATTTTATATGGAATACAATGTGGCCCGCTTGACCTACATCCATGATGGCCCGCTCACCTACCGGTTACGTTAACTACATATTAGTACTAGTAGTAAATTGTTGAGGCCGTTCTTTAATTGGTTGCGACAGTCCACTCCCGCCTGTGGCATTCGTCCACTTCCTAACTTTAAATTCCCTGTGAAGCTATCAATCTAGCAATCCATGATACTCTTGAGCTCCATGAACCTACACATTCGCTTCTAGAGATTCTCTTGAATCGAGGCCAAATTCTTCAGCCATTGCACTTCTAGGGTGGTAAATCGGCTCATATGTGAGCCCTTCCACTAAACATGGACCCGGCGGATAAGAATGATTCTACTGAGTACTTACCACAATTGCTTCAACAAAAGCGGAGCATCAGCGTGTATGAAGTCCCAAGGAATTTGACCCCGTCATCCGAAGATCTTAAAAATTACGACTGGGGGCATCTCCAAGAACATTACGCCAACGCGATGGAGAAACACGGAACAGCTGAAGAAGACTTGCGAGCTCAGATCTCGAAGCTGCTAGAGGTTCCTCTATCGTACTCCGTCCGGGAAGTCATCCTCTAATAATCATGTTATTGTTATAGGTTTTCATGGCGTGGTCTCAAACTACAGTTATTCGTGATGAAGCTAGAGCGCTAAAGAGGTTCGATTAAAGTACGAGGTTGTAGTACGATGTGAGGCTTATTAATCTTGATAGGTTCAAAACGCAAATGCAGCACGTACAGAATTCGGAGGAGGATTTAGAGAAGAAACGGAAGCACTGTACGTCATTAATGCTTTCCTACGAAGCAATAATCCGATTTCTAACTCTTCAGGTAGATGTCGATGTTGTAAAGGCGTTCGAAAGCGCTCTTGCGCTTCTGAATGACCGCATAAGACCCTGAAGGCAGTGGTTGTCTATAATAACTTCATCTCCAGTCCTATTTTTTCTGTCTTGTAGGATTTTCAATAGGTGTTACCGAACTCAATTACCTAGCAGGGTGTGATCCCCCTTATTGTTACCTGAAATTATACAAATATGCCCACAATCAGCTGGCAGTCCACCCTCCTTCTGCTGCCACTGAGTGGAAAAACAAAGAAATAAAAAAGGGGAGGAAGGATGCGAGGAAGTAAAGTATCCCTACAGTAACCCTAAGCTCCGGCTCGGCCAACGTCATTCTGCCTTAGCCTAGTAGTGATGTCCTGCCAGATAGTGTCAATCTGCCCTCCAGTGCTTGCTAGTAAGCTTTCCTCTTCGGCCTCTTCAGCATCCTCATCGAGCTGCCGCTCGTCCAATTTCGGAGAGCACAAGAGAGCGGTGACCATCACAAATAGATAGATACCTTGATCGCATAACTCGTTAGAGCCCCTAGTTAAAATGATGCAAGAGAGGTAAAGAATCCCTACCTAAGAAAGCGAATTGGGCCCAGAAGAACATGGCACCGAAAAAGGGAAAATTTATCGTCACACGGTTAAGAAATGTGCTGGCAACGCTTGGAGTGCAGACTTGCTTGGCGGCCAAACTATCTGCCACCTCAGAGCATGGCCTAATAAGGTGTTTAGCACCTGAACAATCTGGCTGTTTTTCAGGAAAGCCGAGTTCTCGATCACAGAAGGTTTGGGGCCCATAAGTTGCGTACTGAGGAGCAAGTATTATCGATGTTGAATAGTTCAAAGCTAGTATGATCAACATCAACATAGCCGTTGCTAACAAAAGAGCCTGGGGTGACGTGTGGCCTTTTCGGATTTGGAAGATTTTGATCCAAAGAAATCGGATGCCAATTGCAGAAATGCCGACGATGGAGCTGCTGAATAAAAATAAGACAAGCATCGTGAAAATGACGTAGTCTACTGGAAATGCTTTGGCGGATTGAACAAGAACCCAGTTAATGGGGTTGAAAACATTGATATGTCCAAGAATGTATCCACATTGTTGTTTGCAGAACGAGTTCTTGGCCTTATCGATCGCCGTCAAAAGCATAGATATCCATATAATAAGCGCAACAAGTGAAAGAATGACGCCGGATAAAAGTCGGAATGGACGGAATATAGCTTCAATTTTTAGCCACAATCGCATTAATCGGGTTTGGTCTTTGCCCTCGGCTTCATCCGCCAAGCGTTGTCGACGGACGAGCGTTCGTTCTTCCCTCACAAGAGTATCCAGCTCTCTACGGTCTTTTGAAGACAAAAGTCCCGGATTACCTCTGCAGCGACCTTCTAACTGGCGCTGTCGTTCCCGATTCGACCCAAGCTGAACGGCTGTAGTCGCTTGTAATGTCGGGCTTGAAACTGACGGGCCTTCTTTGATTAAGGTAATTGGGAATAGAGCTAGACCCGTGGAAGTATATAAAACATAAAAGCAGAGACCTATGGTTATCAGCAACCCAAGAGCAAATGTAAGGGCACGCTCGCCACCTGCGGTAGGAACTTATTAGCGACAGCACCCCATGGTACATGATATACCGGCTGAAGGCACAATAACTAGGAGGAGTTCCAAGCTTACGGCTTTGGGTCAGGAGGTTCTTGAAATAATCCAGACCACCACCATTCCCATCTTTCGCAGTAGGCGCGAAGAACCCAACGAGAAACAGCACAACCACTATCGCAAGGAAAGAGACTGTGTATCTAAAAGCAGCCCAAAACCGCTGCCCAAGTGACTGTTCTCCTGCTTCGGATGCCACTTCGTCGTACTCTTCGTACCAAAAATAAATGAAAGGAATCACAATGAGGCAGAGGAGGGCGTCCAAAGAGTATAGGAAGTAATACCCAACTTTCAAGTACAATAGGATCCTATCTACTTCTTTTTGAGTAGCCCAGTCCTGTCGCCGACCCAGAGCCGGAGAATTCGTAGATGAGACCAGAGCAACGTCGACTGGTACCAAGAGAACAGTCGCAAGAAGGGTGGTGACAGCAAAGATACAAGTCAGTATTACCGATGGACAGCGATCCCGAGGGGTTTGGTAAGCATAAATAAATATAGAGGCCACTGCAACCAATACAGCTACCATAATTGCATATACAACCCAAATAAGGGACGTTTGCAGGAGCGCCATGTTGGATCTTGGATCTCACATGGGAGAGAACTCCGTTCGAGGGTTCAAGTTAAGAAGTGATTACAAGGACCTGTTGAGAATACATGAGTACCTAACAATAAATATATGCAACAATCACAAGGAATACTCAACACTTGCCATAACATACCTAAAATTGAGATGATTATATTAAGAGAATATCATTGACGGCATCGCGAAGAAGTTCTAAACGCGTCTTACGTCATCGCATCGTGGAGCTTAGATTGATCACGTGTTACTTCCGTAGCTCCCAGGTTTTGGCGATGTCCCTGATGTACATAAATAGCACCAAGCAGCTTCGCTTGTTGTTCAAGAATCTTGGAATAAAATCATCTACAGTGAATAACTTAGTTACTTCCAGCTCTGTTGATCTGCTTTTACATTATTTAAGAAATGGTTCTTGCATAAAGTCAGTTGAAGAGAAAGAAACATAAGCAGGGAGGAACAAGAGGGAGGTTCGAACATCTCTCATTTGATTTTGATTACCAAATGCAGTGTTATACTGAGCTCTTACCTCCCACTGGGGTCACTCATTCGTTGGCACTTCCTTTTACCTCTGAATCAGCGAACAACTTGGTGGTTGCTAGAACTTCTCGTCTCCAGATATTTTCTTTGCTTAATGTTGACCCTCAACCTGGAGGCGCCGAAGAACAGGGTGTCTCAAAGCTGATCTTAGAGAGGGAATATGCTCTTCCAGGAACAGTAGCAGATCTATGCCGGGTTAAACTCTTGAATACCAAGAGTGGCGGCGAAGCTATTTTGCTTGCCTTCCGAAGCGCCAAACTTGCTTTGATCGAATGGGACCCGCGACGGTATGGCATCTGCACAATCTCTATCCATTATTATGAGCGGGATGATTCGACTAGTAGTCCATGGGTACCTGATTTGAGCAGTTGCGGCAGCATCCTTAGTGTGGACCCAAGCAGTAGATGTGCGGTTTTCAACTTCGGGATCCGGAATCTCGCTATCCTTCCTTTCCACCAGCCTGGGGATGACCTGGTGATGGATGATTATGGCGAACTTGACGAGCAGAGACTTGGCAGCCATGGGCCAGGAAGTGGCACTGATTGTGATTTGACCAAAGAAAGCACCATGCATGGGACGCCGTACACGTCTTCTTTTGTGCTCCCTTTGGCGACGTTGGATCCATCAATACTACACCCCATAAGTCTCGCATTCCTATATGAATATAGGGAGCCGACATTTGGTATTTTGTACTCGCAGGTTGCTACGTCTAATGCGCTTCTTCATGAAAGGAAAGATGTTGTTTTCTATACAGTTTTCACACTGGACCTAGAGCAGCGAGCATCAACGACCCTACTTTCCGTGTCTAGATTGCCTAGTGACTTGTTTAAAGTGGTAGCCCTTCCTCCTCCTGTTGGAGGTGCCCTGCTCATTGGGTCTAACGAGCTTGTTCACGTTGACCAAGCGGGGAAAACCAATGCAGTGGGGGTTAATGAGTTCTCTAGGCAGGTTTCGTCTTTTTCAATGACGGATCAATCAGACCTAGCACTTCGCCTTGAAGGCTGCATCGTTGAGCGCCTTTCTGAGACCAATGGAGACTTACTTTTGGTACCAAACACCGGAGACTTAGTCCTTGTCAAATTTAGGCTAGACGGCAGGTCGGTATCGGGCATCTCAGTTCATCCAGTTCCTCCCCATGCCGGCGGAGACATTGTGAAATCCGCTGCTTCGTCATCGGCTTTCCTTGGCGATAAGAGAGTTTTTTGGGAAGTGAAGATGCCGATTCACTACTTCTGGGCTGGTCAGTTCCATCCTCAGGCACTAAGAAGCTCCGACCTCAGGCAAGGCATACGGAAGAGGATTCTGGGGGATTTTCTGACGAAGATCAGAGTGAAGATGATGTTTATGAAGATGATCTTTATGCTACGGTGCCAGAAGTCGTGGTAGACGGTCGCCGTCCCTCTGCAGAGTCGTCCGGCTCTAACCTGTACAACTTTCGGGAATACGACAGACTTTTGAATATTGGTCCTTTGAAAGATATTGCTTTCGGAAGGTCTTTCACAAACCTTGGCGCGGAAGAAAATGCCAGCAATGGTTCGGGCCTGGAATTGGTAGCTTCCCAAGGGTGGGATAGAAGCGGTGGCCTGGCTGTTATGAAGCGCGGGCTCGAGCTCCAAGTGCTCAATTCCATGAGAACAGACTCGGCCCGTTGTGTCTGGACAGCCTCTGTAGCTCATAGGGACGAAGCCGTATCTAAGAACACCACGCAAGGTGAAGAACGAGAATTGCATCATTATGTTGTCGTCTCAAAAGCAACGAGTGTCGACAGGGAACAGTCTGAAGTTTTTCGGGTGGAGGGACAGGAACTGAGGCCGTTCCGAGCCCCGGAATTCAACCCAAACGAGGATGTAACCATTGATATTGCAACGTTAACAAGCAAAAACAGAGTGGTTCAGATCTTGAGAAATGAAGTTCGAAGCTATGATGGCGGTGAGTTTACCCTCCTGATAGCGCCTATACGACGAAAGTAATTTAATGAAATAGACTTGGGCTTGGCTCAGATCTATCCTGTATGGGATGAAGATACTAGCGAAGAACGGATGGCCATTACCACTAGCCTTGTGGATCCGTACGTCGCGATACTCCGCGATGATTCAACGTTATTACTTCTCCAAGCAGACGATAGCGGAGATCTCGATGAAGTCGAGTTGAATGAACAGATGGCGAATTCAAAGTGGACCTCGTGCTGCTTGTACTTCGACAAAACTGGGATCTTCTCCTCTATGAGGGCAACCTCGAACGAGTCGACTCAAAGAAACATGACTCTTTTCCTAATGACCCAGGATTGCCGTTTATTTGTGAGTTACGCAGTACCTTCTCACAAATGAAGTTGTACCATTTTTCTTCTAGTGTGGAACCTGGACACATCTAATACAACATCTTTAGATATATCGGCTTCCTGATCAGAAACTATTAGCGATAATCGAAGGTGTCGATTGTCTGCCGCCCATTTTGTCAAGTGAACCTCCGAAGCGGTCAACTACACGCGAAGCCTTGACCGAAGTTGTTGTTGCTGACCTTGGAGACACCTGGAGCAGCTTTCCTTACCTAATTGTATGAACTTGACGAATCCCTTGTTGAAGCCTTTTTCTGGGTTTCTTGGTTGACGGAATCAATGCAGATACGCAGCAGACATGATGACCTTGCCGTATACAGACCGTTTATATCCACTACAAAGTCTGCAAGGGAATCACACGCTGACCTAAAGTTCCTAAAAGAGACAAATTCGGATTTGCCAAGAATAGCCCCAGGCGTGGAAGATCATTTGTCAAATGAGGAAGCAATGAAAAGCACACCATTGCGCATTATATCCAATGTTTCAGGACTCAGCGCAGTATTCAGGCCAGGTGTTTCACCGGGATTTATAGTCAAAACTTCGCCAAGTTCTCCACATTTTCTGTGCCTTAGAGGAGGATATGCACAGTGTCTTAGCAAGTTTGAAATTTCCGAATGTGGAGAAGGCTTTATCCTCCTGGATTCTAAGGTGCTTCGCTTCATACTTCTCTCCCTAACATACTGCATACTGAATTTTTTCATACAGGGTGTTGTTCATGTGTGTCGAGTGCCTCTTGGTGTTCAGCTTGACTATTCGTGGGCAATACAACAGATACCCATTGGAGAGCAAGTTGATCACCTAGCCTACTCTTCGTCATCTGGCATGTATGTCCTAGGAACTTCTCACAGGACAGAATTCAAGTTACCTGACGATGATGAGTTACATCCCGAGTGGCGTAATGAAAGTGTGTCTAGCACCTGTTGACGTCTGTACAGTGTGCTGATAATATCACAGTGACCTCGTTCTTTCCTGAAGTGCAGCGAAGCTCTCTAAAAGTCGTGAGTCCGAAAACGTGGACCGTCGTTGATAGGTATGAAGCTATTACGAAAAGTCCAATAAGATTTACTAACATTCTATTTTCTTTCACCTGGAAGTTATCTATTGGGCCCTGCCGAGCATGTGATGGCGGTAAAAAACATGAGCCTTGAGATCTCTGAGAACACACATGAGCGTAAGGATATGATCGTTGTGGGAACAGCATTTGCAAGAGGCGAAGACATTGCATCGCGTGGTTGCGTGTACGTCTTTGAAGTCATCAAGGTCGTCCCTGATCCTGAGAGGCCGGAGACAGACCGTAAATTGAGACTCGTAGGCAAAGAGCCGGTAAAAGGAGCAGTAACCGCCTTGTCCGAAATCGGTGGCCAGGGCTTTCTGATAGTCGCACAGGGACAGAAATGCATTGTCAGAGGCCTCAAAGAAGATGGTAGCCTTCTTCCTGTTGCTTTCATGGACGTGCAGTGCCATGTTAGCGTGGTAAAAGAGCTTAAGGGCACAGGAATGTGCATCATCGCTGATGCTGTGAAAGGGCTTTGGTTTGCGGGCTACTCAGTAAGTTCTTAGTTCTCAAAAAGAGGGACCCAAGGGACAATAGATCTGACAACATTGTGTATCCAGGAAGAGCCTTATAAAATGAGCCTCTTCGCAAAGGATCTGGATTATCTCGAGGTCCTGGCAGCAGATTTCCTTCCTGATGACAACAAGCTGTTCATTCTCATCGCTGACAGTGACTGCAACCTTCATGTGCTCCAATATGACCCTGAAGGTGTGTCACATTGCCTTTTGTCAAGATAGTTCCGCAAGCAGTCCACTGATAAGGAATAGATCCAAAATCGTCCAATGGCGATAGACTACTGAGTCGCAGCAAATTCCATACAGGTAACTTCATCTCGACGTTGACGCTCTTGCCGCGGACTTCAGTCTCCTCCGAGCAAATGATCTCTGATGTTGAAGCGATGGAGATTGACGTCAAAATTCCTCGCCACCAAATGCTCATTACCTCCCAAAACGGATCCGTTGGCCTCGTCACATGTGTCTCCGAAGAGTCCTACCGTCGATTGTCCGCTTTACAATCTCAACTGACAAACACTATTGAGCATCCATGCGGTCTCAATCCTCGGGCTTTTCGGGCAGTGGAAAGCGACGGCACTGCAGGCAGGGGAATGCTCGATGGAAAGCTTCTCTTCCAATGGCTAGACATGAGCAAGCAACGCAAGGTGGAAATAGCGAGTCGTGTTGGAGCAAATGAATGGGAGATCAAAGCAGATTTTGAAGCTATTAGTGGCGAAGGGCTTGGATACCTGTAATGGTAAGCAGCCTGAGTCAATAACAGCTTCGGAATACCTACCATAGAATGAATATTGATATGGAGGACAGCAAATTTTGGATAAGAACTATGCTTATATCTTTTCGACATGTTCGAGAGTTAGCTAGTCGCAAGATAAGACTTAATGCGATGCTATGGCGTTCTTTTCTTCCTAGTTATATGTTGAGTTATGGGCTGAAAGATTAAATACGCGACTTCAAGATCGAGTAGTATCCTGTTGTCTTCTTCACGTTTTCAATGCTGTGTAAAACTTGATGTCGCTCCACAACTATTATTGACCAGAGAGATACCTATCAACCAGCAGACAGGATAGCGAAAGGCATACGTTTGAACGGCGAAAATTGAACCCCCCTGGCTGAGCCAATGGTAACGGAATCTTTTGGTATACAACAAGCGCACCAAAAAATATATATAAAATATAAGAATAAATAAAAGTAAAGGAAAAGAAAGGAAAATGAAAGGTAAGAGCATAAAGGAAAGAAAGAAAGAGAGCTCAAGACGGCCAGCCGATTGTCACCTTTCCTCTGTGGTTCCTTGGCCCAAGGTGCCCTAATCCTTCCACATAACATCATGACGCAGGTATATATGTATTACACCAAGAAGGACAAAGACAAAGAATAAAGAATAAAAGAAAGAGTTATTGGGAGCCAGACATCAATAAAGATGAAGAGAAGAGGCCCGGATATCAAGTTTAGACTCCGTCACGCCACAACAAACCCCGCAACTCGTGGTCATTCCATATCTGTACATCTCGAAGAAGGGAAATAAAAACAAAAAAGGGGTGGGAGAGGTTGGTTTTAGCATTTTCTCTAATAAAGATTCCATCCAAATGGACAGATATTGAACCTGGCTCAGGTCGAACGAATTCAAAACTGGCACGTTTCCAGTATTCGGCAGCTCTTAGAAGCGGTTGGACTCTCACCCAGCTACAAGATCATGCACATCCAAACCATCTCTATGCTAGAAAACATCTTCTGCAGCGAAGTATCGCTTACTTCTACCTCGTGTAGCAACAAACTTCATCTCAGGCATATTAGTATGGTGTACCACATGTGGTCGATATACTGCATCCACGGGTGCTTGCCAGTCATCCAAACCCAGTGGAAAATATTCATATAATAAATCAGCACTCTCGTTTGGAAAAGGAAGAGTTGACGCAAAAGGTTGCTGCATATTTGTAGTGTTCAGCAAGGGCAACGATGATGACGTGCTCCTGGTCGGTGGTTGTGGGATCCCATGTGAAAGCTTTCGTATTTTCGCCGGCGGTGCCGAGCCCTCCGTATTGATAATTCTTTGCGGAATCTCACTAGCATACGAGGAAGTCGGTCGGGCAGAGTCATTCAAACGGGAAGAATCGCCACCACCGTCATCATCAAGAAGTGACAAGTTTATCGGAGCTGCGATAGCACTAGCACGTCGTTGCTGAGTTTCTGCTGTCCGCGAATATTCTGGACTGGACTGTGAATAAATAGATGAGCGAGGCAGGGCTGTAGATGGAAGTGCTCCTCCTGTAGACTGGGGGATCTGTGTCCAGTCAGGGGAATCCCGTTGAGCAGTAGTAACGCCGGCCTGGGAAGCCGAGGTCTCCGGTGAGCTGCTCTTCCCTGTAGTCTTAACCTTGGGTGGGGGTTGACCAGAGCGTGGAGCAGTTTCACTGGTGGGCGTACGGTTGATACTGGCCGAGTGGGAAGCTTGCGCATTCTTTCTCGACGCCGCAGCACTACCGCTCAAGGGCAAGTCCTTGCGGGATTGAAAGTTGCGTGGACTGCGGCCCCGAACAATTACGGGTCCCGAGTGCACCTCGCAGATAGGGATTTTGGTGCCCGTAGACAAAGTTGCGACGACCTTTAGCCGAACAACAAAGTGTTGTTGGAGCTCCTTTCTGCGCCCATTGTTGGCAGTTGCCACACGAAACTGGAGCCGCTTCCATGCTATCGGAAAGGTGGCATAGTCTGTATCAAGATCCTGACCGGCCATGATGTCTAAAGGGATCGCGGGAGGTTCTTTTTCAACCTTGAGGTTATTTGGGTTGTTCGTCGTGGTAGGGTGGTTACTGTCTTCGGCAGAAGGATTCGCACTCGCCGCGGGGGTTTTCCAGGGCACAGAGATGATTTTGACAGAATTACCTTCCACAGACTCAGTCGCTGAAACAGTGAGCTCCTGTGCAAGAATCGGTATACGGTCGCCTTGTTCTGTCATAATATAGCGTAAGCTCCGCGGGAGGGTAACCGAGCCCGTGATCTGAAACAAGTTACGACGGTAACACGTTAGCTCCGCACCTTGCTGGGGCGGAGCATTCTCTGCGGGGGATGTGGTCCAAGGCGACTCCGCAAGGAAAAACATGCCATGTAGCTGGGCCGAGAGTGACAGTGAAGTCCTCCGTAACGAGTAATCAAGCAAGGTAAAATTATATACCGGTATCGAAAAGCTCAGTAGTTTGTTGTTATGGTCGATGGACGAATCAGAGGGTTGTTCTGCAGGTGCGGGATCAAAAGGCGTCACCATGTCAGAGAAAGGGTCATCATATCCCGAAGGGAATCGTTTTAGCGGTGCGGATAGACCGGTCTGGGGGAAGGTTATATCATCTCCGCTGATTCAAAAGTAATGTTAGGGCTCTGCCCACAGCAGTAATCATCTGTAGGACGACGAGCTACTCACCTGACAAATGTCTCCGAGTCAAAGTTGGAGCGCTGATCAGGAAGATCCATGCCAGGCATAGAATTGAGATAGTCGGCGCCCTGAATATTGCTGAGCGATAGTGGGCTGGCCAAGTAGGGCATGGCCATGGTGTCGAAGCCCTCCATGGCAAGGGTTAAACACAATTAAGACTTGCAAAATCAGCAAGACAAGAGAAACGATCGCCTGTCTCCTCAAGAAATAACAGGGAAGCGAATTAAACCAGGAAAGGGGACGTAGAGGGAAATAGGTAGTACAATCAACTCCGGGGGCGGAAGAGCAATGACTGTAGAGAACGCGCTAGGAGCTAAGGAGATCTCATAAAAGGTTCGTAGTCCATGGGATGAAATACACGACAGTAATAAGCAAAATAAGTAGTACCGATAGTAATAGTAGTAAGTGACAAAGAATGAGAAGAAACGAAAGGTGATTGAGAGGAGGGGTAGAAGGTAGAGTGAGGGAAAGCAATCACTTGTACTCCGTAGTAAGTCGTGATAGGTGCTATGAAGGAGTCGTGAGTGGATCAGATTGCCCCGAGGTCAGTACGGAGTAGTCGGTGGAGCTTGCTGTGATGTCTCTTTCACAGATAGAAAAAGGAAAAAAAAAAAGAAAAAACGAAAAAAGGAAAAAACAGAGAGAGAAAAGTTCATCCGGAGTCAGTCAATCTAAGTCAATAAAGATAGATAACAAGAGACTAAAGACGGACCCGGCGACGGGGCGGCAGCAGTAGCCGGTGAAGAGGGGCGGAATAGGGAAGATTTCAAGATGTTCAAGGGCTTTGGTTCACTAACGCCCACCTTCTCCTTGGTTCAAGGCTGGTGACTTAGTTTAAACCTGGACAAGTCAAACTAAGGTACCAACGAATGAAGGATGAACTGATGGGTTCAGCAGTGTGGATCACGAAAGCAGACTAGCAGGCCACTAGGAAGGTGGAGGAGGAGAAGAGACGAGGTGGAGGGGAGATGATATCCCGAGCAGATTCTTGAATATCACTTGTGGAGAGTGGCCAACGGATGTGTGAAAAAAAAAAAATAAAATAAAAATAAAAATAAAAATTGTAAAAAAGGGAAAAATAAAAAAAAGAGCAGGAAGGCCGACCGGGGACGTACTCAGACTTGAAGGTGGAAAAGAAAAGCGAGTAGAAAAACTGTTTTCCCTTCATGCTCTAAGCTCTCAGTTCAAGCAAGAATGGGTGAGATCTCCATGACTCAATTCGACTTATTCTCTCTGCCTTTACCTATCTCATAAAAGAACTGAAATTTTCTAGAACAGGGGAATCCACCAACGACTTGTAGCGTCCACAAGGAAGAAATATGCTTTAGTCTCTGCGGCTTATCCGTTGTGCTCCAACTTGGTGGTGGTTTGGTCATCTGAGATTGGTCTGTATTGTACATACATACATTACCTACCGTACATTTCCCGACCCATACATATGCCTGAGCCTTGGACTCTCGCCTTATCCTTTCTGAATTCATGTTTCTTTTCTATTTTAATAGATTGACGTTTGCAGCTATTATTTTCCTATGGATCATGAGCCGCAAAAGTTGAATGTCTTGGTTGTTATGGCACTAGGGTCGATATAGGTTTACCCATGGAAGGCGGAAGGACAGGAACTTAGCATAGGTAGACGAAAGATTACCCCAGTTTGGCAGTTAAGGACCTGCCGGATTAGGAGACGCTGCTTTGGGAATCACAAGTACTAGTCATTTTTAGGAATGACTCCACCGAAACCCGGGGAATATCTTCCTTTCCTTTTTCCTTTCTGTTATTTTCTTTTT